AAGAATTGGGAGGGGTGGGAGGTGGGGGTCTATTGGGGTTCGGGGTTAAAAATGAGTATTGGTAAAGGGAAATATGTTTGGTATCTACATGACTGAGACCTAAACCCGAAAGCTCTGTAACTTTTCCCACAGTGATCCAATAAATAAATAAATTATAAAAAAAAAAATGTAGAAGGCAAAAAAAAAAAATTAAGAAAAAAAAAAGGTTCCAAACAAGTGCACTGTATTTTCCTCACCATGGACAAAACTTAAAAGCCAGGATGCAGGGCCAAAGAGATAGTAGAGCAGGAAGTGGTGGAAATGGGGTATAAACAGCCTCGGGCCTATGCACTGAGCCGATGGCCCAGCTACCCAAGAATCACCCCTGGCGCCTCCAGACTTCCTGAACACTGCTTGGGAAGTTAACCCCTGAATAAAAAGAAAGGGGGGGGGGAGCAAACTTGCTCTTTACAGTTGCAAAGTCCGGAGCAAGAATGCACAAAGGTATGTATGTACCCTATCTAAGTATTAAATGGTAAACATTAAATTGATCTGTTAAATAAAATGTCTTTTTACCTTACAAATAGATTTTTTGATGGAGGGATTTTTTGATAACTCCATGCAATGCTCAGGGGCTATTCCTGGGTCTGTGCTCAAGAGTGACCCCTGGTGGTGCTCAGGGGATCATAAGGGGCTGGGAATTCAACCAGGGTTGGCTGCATACAAAGCAAGCACCTAACCCTTGAACCCTTGAACTGTCTCTTTGGCCTCCAGACAGACTTTTCAACCACCCGGAGGACAAACCTAAATTTATTACTTCAGGTTGTCTGGGGTCTTCACCTATCTCATCTGTGGCCTGCTGCCTCTACCCATGTCCAATGAGCACACTGAGGAGACCATTAAATGCACATGTCTAGACACCTCAACCTACCTGTCAAGTTAAATATGTGAAAAGTTGACATTCGTGAAGCCATATTTTAAATGAAGTCAAGGACCTATTATAGGGAAATTCCATTACCTGTCTCCTTGAACTGGCCAAAAACCTTTGGACTGGGCCAAAAGCAATTGTTCCAAGAAAACATCAATCAAACAATTGTTTGAGAAGTCATCTAAATAGAACTGATAATTATGGACTTTTGGTTGAAGGATAGAATCAGTCAGTTCCCTTTTCATCCTCCTAGACAATCAGTAACCAATAATGCACGACCAAAAATAGTTCAAATTTGTCAACACTAATAAATTCTTCTCTTTAACCAACCTATCTCTTCCTCCTCTTTTCTTCTCATAAAAATCCCTGACTCTGACTGATACACAGTGACCTCTCTCTTATGTGAGATATAAAGAAACACAGTAAGGGGATAACAAAAGGCCAAGGCAACAGAACCCTAGAGCTGATCTGCAGGACCCATCTGCAGGGTCAGGATGAAAGGGTGGATTAAGGTGGGGAACACTGCTGGAGGGTGTGGTGTTGGGATACTGTATGTCTGAAATCCTATCATAACAGAGTTGTGACCCATAGTGCCCAAAATAAAAAGAAATCCAGGACTTTGTCCTCAGAGGGGCATGTTGGGGGGAGTGTGGAGATGTGTTATAGGTGCAGGATTCCTTCATTCCACAGACTGTGAGAGCAGGGATCCTCTTGCTGGGGTTGAAGGCTTTTGCTGCCCCAGAGTGGACACTGCCTACCTGCCTGCCTCAGGAGGAAACTGACCTCACAGAGAAAGGCAGGACAGAACAGAGAGCAGGAACCAGCCCTCCAGCCCACTAGAGGGACCCCACTTGAGCAGGCCACAGCCAGGGACAGAGCCCCAAGCTCTACTCAAAGCATATCCTCACTGAGCAGAGGGGTAGACTCAGTTCTTATGGAGAAAGAAATCTCAATTGTTACCAACTTACATCACCCACAGCTGATACCCCAAGCAGTAAATGGAAACAAATCATGAAGATTCTATTAGCTCTTCTTTTTTTAAAAAAAAAAATGTAATTTGGGGGTACAGGGCCGTACTCTGTGATGCTCAGTACTCTGTGTTTCTCTGCACTCAGGAATTACTTCTGACGATGCTTAGTGAAAGGATGCAAGAATGAACATTAGGGACTCCATATTAGCCATAGTCCCACAGTGTAATGATTTAATGCTAAGCAGGCATATCGGACAGGACCTCCAGGTTTACCTTTAACCTAGCTAACACAATCACTGGCATAAGCTCTGGGAAAGCAGAAGAATAAGTAAAGGTGCAGGACCATAACAGGAAAAGCGGCAGGCTATAGCCTACAAAGGGGAAAGGAAGTCAAACTGGGTAATCCGAGTTAGCAGGTGAGGGCAGCAAGGAAGGGATAAGCCAATCAAGAAAAAAAAATATGACCCTAAGGTCCTGGGAGGGAGCCAATCCAAGGCAGGAAGGTCCAAACCCAAGTATAAAGGGTTACAAGGGGACGCTTGCAGGGAGACGGGGTCGCCCTCTGTGCAGGGGACCCTGGTCGACCAGTACGTGTGCTTGGCGTGAATAAAGAACTTCTTTGCTTGCATTTTTGACTCTGTCTCTTTCCTTGGATCACGGACCCTACGACTCAGGGGGCCATTTAGGATGCCAGGGATCAAACCCGGGTCAGTTGTGTGCAAAGCAAGAACCCTCCCCACGTTACAATTGCTCCAGTCCCTCTATCAGCTCTTTTGCATTGCTCAGTGGGGGTCCCTCCATTGGGCTGAAGGGCTGGTTCTAGCTCTCTGCTCTGTCCTGCCTTTCTCTGTGAGGTCAGTTTCCTCCTGAGGCAGACAGGCAGTATCCAGTATCCACTCTGGGGCAGCAGCAGCCTTCAACCCCAGCAAGAGGGTCCCTGCTCTCACAGTCTATGGGATGAAGGAATCCTGCACCTGTAACACCTTTCCATGCCTCCCCCGGGAAAAGTCAATGTGAAGTGCATTATCCAGGACTCTGGGCTCTAGGCCCACCCGAGAGGGGGAAGTGGGGCTGCAGAGGCCAGGGGATCAGTCTTCCTTCTCCGAGTCTTAAGCGTCTGCCTGCAATCTAGCTTGGACAGATACAGTTACCTTTCCCACATTCTGTTAGTTACAATAAACCCACCCAGAATGAAACGGTAGGCCTTAGACTCTATCCTGAGGGACGGCAAGACTCAAGAACATATAACACACAACATACAACATATAACATGTGAGATACTACTGATGTAGGCAGGCAGGCAGATCGGGAAGGTCCCCTCCCAAGGCAATGGCAGTAAATTTCCTGGGAAGTAATAGCCCTGAAGTTGCAAAGGCCAACCTTGCAGAAAACAGGAACTAAGGCCAGATAAGACCCTCACATGGCACCAGCAATGGACCCTGAGAGACTGGACCCCCTCCAACAGAAGCTCCAAGAGGAACAAAAGGCCAGGAAAGGAATTTCAAAGGAGACCATCACCACTCCCAACTCTGCCTCCTTGACAACCTCCTTAGCAAAGGACTTTGACCTAGGTAGAAGCTGAGAAGCCCTATGTGGGGGCTGGTTGGAGAAACCCTAGGAAGGCCACCTTGAACAAAGAAAGGGCGTGCATATGTTGCCTGAGCACCGCGCTGCTTGTGCCCACATGGCCGAGCACACGCGGTGTCTGAGCACATGTGTCGCCTGCATCTCCCCTCTTGAGATGTGTGCTTTCATGCTTTCCTGTCTAATGCTGAGATGTGTGTAGAGGCTCTCTCTGCCCTTGGAGAAGCCCAGGTTCTCTCTTGAGTATGTTACTCTCCACTCTCTCCCACTTTCTCTCCTTCCCTTCAAAACCTCCAAACAAAAACTGTAATTTCACTGCTCATCTACTCCTGAAATTCCTTTCTGTGAGGAGAGACAAGAACCCAGTAATCCTGGGTCTCAGGTGGCAGAGGCGGATCCGGAGAAAGTGATCGTCTTTCTCCTCCCCACTTCACATGAGCCAGCAGTTGGGGCCCACTGACATCACTACTGCAGTCAGTCTGAGGGGATAATAAACCTGGAAGGAAAAGCAGGCAACAGATTACAGACCAGGCCTAGTCAGCCACGTTTAGTTCAGTCTTGTTCTGTTTCTGCTTGGGGCGACACGACATCAGGATGACGGTGAAAGGACACCCTGAGTGCTCTGAACCCAAAGTTCACTCCTGCAAGGTCGGTGCTCCAGCCCTTTGAGCCATCTCCCTAGCCTCTTGATTCAGCCTCAGTATGAATTGTTTTTAGGGACTGACTAGAGGGTTTTAAGTGGATAAAGTGGTCCAGTTGTCTTAAAAAGCAAATTCTAGCAGGGCCAGAGAGGCAGTACAGCAGGTAGGATGTTGGCCTTGCACGTGGCTGACCTAGGGTTCAATCCCCAGCATTCCATGTGGTCGACTGAGCACTACCAGGAGAGATCCCTGAATGCAGAGCCCTGAGCATCACCGGGTGTGGCCCAAAAACCGAAAAAAGAATGAAGAAAGAGAGAGAGGAAGAAAGAAAAGAAAGAAAGAAAGAAAGAAAGAAAGAAAGAAAGAAAGAAAGAAAGAGGAAGGAAGGAAGAAAGGAAGGAAGGAAGGAAGGAAGGAAGGAAGGAAGGAAGGAAGGAAGGAAGGAAGGAAGGAAGGAAGGAAATTCTAACAGCATATACATAGCAAGGACTTGTGTGGGGCGTTTGGAAGCAGAGACCACTCAGGAGGGGGAATCCAGAATGCCGGGCACGGCGTGACCCCCGCCCTGGTGAGGGCACAAAGAGGGGGTGGGGTGAGGGCGCGGGCCGGCCCCGCTGTTCCGTCCGTCCGCGGGGATGCGCTGAACCTGCTTTTCCTAGAGCGCCCGGGTTCAAGCCCAGGACCGGCAACCACAGCCCCGGTCTTGAAGCTCACCAAGAGGAACTACGTTTGTCTTGGGTCTGCTGGGCCTGAAAGGGCAGAGCGGACATTCAGCTCCGGGCACTCGGGCTTCGGAGCAGCCACACACCCGGCTGCGAGGCCCGGGCTGAACCCCGAGCCGAGCCCCGCCCGCTCCGCCTCCGGCCGCCCCCCGCCCGCATGCGCAGCCCGGCCGCCCATGGCCGAGTTCGGGCGGAAGCTGCCCGAGTGCGCACGCGCGGCGGCCGCCGGTCGCCATGGAGACGCGTGGCCGAGGGCGGGCGTGGAGCGGCCGGAGCCGCGGGCGCAGGAGCCGCGGGTGTTCGGCTGCCCCAGGGGCCGGGCACAGCCCGGCGGGCGGATGGAAGGCCGCGGCGGGGCCGGGCCGCCGGGGTTCGCGGATAACAAGGTCCGGGACCCGGAGGAGAGAGAGAGCGGCACCGAGGTCTCCCAGGGGTCCAGACTGCCCCCCATAGACGGCAGCACGTCGCAGCTGACTAAGCGGAAGGTTAAGAAGAAAAAGAAGAAGAAGACCAAGGGGTCGGGCAAAGGGGACGGTAAGCTGAGCGGCTAGCCAGCAGCTTCGGCTTGAGTGCTTTTGGGTGGAGTCTTCTTGGAGAAGCCCACCCGTACCTGCACAGAGACACTCTCCCGCCCCAACTCCTTGGGGACCCGCGCGAATCAGGGCAGAGAAAGTAGGGCGCCTACCTCGAACGCCGCCAACCTGGGTTTGGTCCCCAGCGTGCCATGTGGTCCCTGGAACTCTGCCAGCCCAACTTCCATCCCCACCATCCCATGTGGTCCCCAGGCACCGCCAGGAGTGATGCCTGAGTGCAGAGCCAGAAGTAAGCCCTGAGCACCACCGGTGTTCCCCCAAAACAAAAATTAAAAAAGAAACCAGGAATAGAAACTCCAAATCACAGAGGGTCACTCTGTGTCTCTGTCTCTGTCTCTGTCTCTGTCTCTCTCTCTCTCTCTCTGACACACACACACAGACACACACAAAATCACTTATGGTAGCCTGATCACTAAAGACCACCCAAACTCACCCACCAAACCCCTCCTCCAAGAAGCTTTTATAACCAAAGGGCCACGGACTTCACAATTTCCCCACCCCACACAGAGTCCCCAGATCCCCAGTATAAGTGAGAATTCAGTATGACTGAAGACATCACCCAAACCTGAGCCCCAGCCCCTCTCAGCTTCCTAATCCCTCCTTTGAAACAAACCTGAACATCCAGAGCTTCCCAGAAGAAAGCTCAAACCCTCCAGTAGTCACTCAGCCTCCCAGACTTTCTCCATCCCAAAGATTCTGTTTGTTTATTTTGGGGCCACACCTCACAGTTCTCAGGGCTTACTCCCGGCTCGGTACTTAGGGATTACTCCCTGTGGAACTTGGGAAACAATATGTGGTATCAGAGATCGAACCCAGGTCAGCAGAATGCAAGGTAAGAGCCCTACAAACTGTACTATCTCTCCAGCCCCAGCCCCCACATTTCTAAGACACTAGTCACACAGATGCACACACACACACACTGCATCATGCAGAGACCCTTGTTGCATAGCGGTTCCCAGCTCTAGCCTCTGGATGCAGTGGAGAGTTCCAGTAAACCCATGTATGCTTGATAACAGCAGTTACTGCTGCACACACCTTCCCAGCAATATAACCACCCAGGAGAAATCTGTGCAAAAGTGCAGATGCATCAGTCATATACACCCACTGTCTACATGTCAGAGTCTGTTTCACACTCTCCTGCACAGACCCCCTTCCCTCCCAAACAGGTCCTGTGTGCAGACAACCATACCCTAATAGGTTCTCGTTCCAGGCAAGCTACCAGACACTTCAGCCCCAACCACCCACCTGCTACAAGTCCAGAGTCCTTACATCACACCATCTTCCCTCCAGAGAGTGCCCAACTTCTTCACCAAGGCACTGAGCACCTACTGTATGGCGAGAGCACAGAGGACTCAGGATGCCCTGAGCAGGGCTGCTGAGTCTCCGTCACCACTGTGCATGAGGCCATCCTGGAAGGCTCTCCTGGCATGGCAGTGCCGACCTCTGGCAGGTGCCTGTCTGGGTTTGGGTTCCTGGGCCCTGGCTATGGGCACAGAGCTGGCTCCCCTGGGAAGTTGGGGGGCAAAGGTACCATCCAGGCATCCACCTCATAGCCTGGGGAACTTAGCGATGGGCAGGTTATAATAGCTTCTTCAGGTGAACTTGTAATACGAAGAAAATAGTTCTGGAATTTAGGTCAAAATTCAACTCCATGTGTGCAAAACAAAAGAGCATCTGTCAGCTTCACTTCTGACTCTAGAAAGTTTTTCCCCCTTTTGTTTTGGGCCACATGTGGCTCTGCAGAGAGCTTACTCCTCGCAGGCTCAGGGAACCATATGGGGTATCAGGGATCAAACCTGGGTGGACCACATGTAAGCCAAGAGCCTCATTTGCTATACTATCTCTGTGAACCATCCCCCCATTTGGGGAGGTTTCGTTGGGGGGGCCACACCTGGTGATGCTCTGCGCTCAGGGAACAGTCATGGTGGGGCTTTGAGGTGAGCATATGGAGTGCCAGGGCTCTAGAAATGTTAGTGTTGTGTGTCTGACTGTCCACAGGCACCCCCAACGTTTTCAGAGATCAGGGAGGTATAAAAAAATGTCAAGGGAATTTTTATTCTTCTTTCTCTTCTTTTTTTACTGTGGAAGAGAACTATTCCTCTCCGCCAAAAATAGAAGAGCTGATGGAAGAACCACAAGCCATTGTATTTTGTGAGCATGTTATATAATCCCAAAATGCGATTAATTAAAAAACAATCTGCAGAAGCCGCACAGAAGCAGCATTTCCGGCTTGGCACGCTGTTGGCTTTGCAGTTAGATCTAGGGAGCGTTTCTGTTTTCCGTTTCTTCCATCCTAGAGCGTCCAGATTGGGGGTCAAGTCAGACTCCTGGGCCTGGAGAGCACCAGAGTGAGATGTGGGAGGGTGAATGAGGGAACAGAGAGGCAGAGTGTCAAGGGGGCGTGGGGCCCTACCTCCCGCCACTGACCTGGCCGGTCCCCACTTTGGGAGTGCGGGTTTCCTCAGCTGGAAGCTAGTGCAGAGCCTTCACTTAAGAGCCATGTTAATGCGGTTGATATGCCACCAGGGGGCGCTGGAACAGAGGGGTGGGCAATAGGAGACTCAGGTGCAATGGGGGGGAAGTAGGTTTTTCAGGGTCACTGAGTGATTTTTTTTTCTGCAAAGGGGGTGGTCAGATAAAGTTGGGAGCCACTGCTCTAGGGTATCTAAAGGATTCAGCTGTGAGCTCAGGCTCCATCGGTCCTTCCTCTCCCAGCCACTCACCCCAAAGCTTAGAGCCCGTAGCTGTATACAGAGCCAGTGAGGTGTTTTATTTTTTGCTTTTTTTGGGTCACACCCGGCAATGCACAGGGGTTACTCCTGGCTCATGCACTCAGGAATTACCTCTGGCAGTGCTCGGGGAACCATATGGGATGCTGGGGATCGAACCCGGGTCAGCCGCGTGCAAGGCAAACGCCCTACCCGCTGTGCTATCACTCCAGCCCCTGAGTTTGGTCCTCTGAGTGGAGGGGCTCCTCCACTGTACATCTATGGGGATGTGGGAGTCGCCCCACCGACGCTAACTCAGCCCCTGTGCCCCGCAGATAAACATCAGAATCCAGGCCTGAAGACTCAGCCACGGCCCTCATCCCTCCACAGCGTCCTAAGTGACATCAAAGACCCCCGCCTGAGGCCGGAGCACCGGTCGGACAAAGAGGACAGCAAGCCCGCAGCTCCTTACACCTCCAGCCGAAGTCTCCCCCACGTCACTGACACAGAGGAGACGCTCTCCAGCCAGACCAATGAGAGTCTGCGCTGGGACGGGATTCTGGCAGACCCCGAGGCAGAGAAAGAGAGGATTCGCATTTACAAGGTCAACCGGAGAAAGCGGTACCGGATTCTGGCCCTCAAGAGCTTCCACTCTGAGCCCAGAGCCGAGGATACCCCCGAGAGCTTGCCCAGCCTCTCGGATAAAGAGAGTGGCAGCAGCCGGCAGCCCTTGGTGAAGGCCGACCACCCCCGACTCTACACTGACGGAAGCCTGGCTCCAAAGCTGCACCACTCAGACTTCACGTCCGTCCTGCCAGAGTGAGTGGCCTCTGAAGCCCTTAGAGGCTGGCCACTTGCCCTTATCACAAGCTTGTATGTTAGAGAAGAAGAAGAATCAGGAAATCAGAGCCACTTGTGAAGGAAGCAGATGTCGGCCGTGTTGACGAGGTCAACTAGCCTCTCCGCTCACCAGGGTGCCCTACACGGCCCAGCACCACCACCCGTGCCGTAAGAACATCCAGCAATGAGTTGAACAAAGTTCTTTCAGAACGTTCCCCTTTTCTCCAACATGGTGGCATCTCTTTCTTATTTAATTTCTCTCACACTTCAGTGCCTAGAATCTACCCCTAAAAGAGAATGTGCAAATGATATCAATTCTAAACCTTAGGCTAATTTCAGGGGTGGAACTCCTCACACAGCTTCTGGGGGTTCAAGGAAAGTGCCTCAAATATCATGGAGACATTTTTTTTTTAAAAAAACCTATTAAATACACTTCCTGCCTGAATGTGACTTTCAAAATAAGTAGATTCCAGAACTTCATCCCTGGGGGCATGAGAAGTCTCTGAAGGAATATTATCTTCCCTCATTCCCTAAGAGAATCCTTTTTTTGGGGGGGGAGGGGCTACTTTTTTTTTCCCCCCAAACCCAGGAGTGTTCAGAGCTTACTTCTGGTTCAGCATTCAGGGATCACTCCTGGCAGGCTTAAGGAACCATATGGGATGCTGGGGATCGAACCTGCGTCAGCTGCATGCAAGGCAAACACCCTACCCACTGTGCTATCGCTCCAGCTCCAAGGCAACACTTTAAAGCAAAGTTCTGGAACGTTATAAATGCCCTCTGTCCACATCCTAAATTAACATCCCTCCCTTCTACACATGTTATCTGGTGAGGAATATGTGTGGTTCCACTAGAAACTGTCCCTAAGACAAGGATTCAGGTGCAGGTGATTTGTGATGAGAAAGATTGGCTAAGAGGACACAGGGAAGGGAAGAGAACACTTTACAGGGAGCTTTGGTGAACCAGCTTCCATCCTGAGCCTAATGCCACAGGGAAAGCCAGAATATCTGTCCAGGAGGTGTGGAAGCAAGGTTACTCATTGTCCCCAAAGGCATTGCCTTCCAGGGAGGTGGGTGTCCATTTCCTGCTTGTCCAGCCTGCTCCACATGTGGGCTCAGAGGCCTGCCTCTACTGTGTGGGAAAACCGCCCTCAGGAACCAAGTTCGAGTCTGAGAGTGCAAGGGAAGGGGCAGTGTCCGGGCCACCGGGCTACCGTACAGTGAGGGGCAGAGGCAGAAAGCACACATTTCAGATGAGGGCCTGACTTCTGAAGAGTTAAAATGTTGGGGGACAAAACGAGACTGTGAACATGGAAAAAGGTGGAAGCCAGATGCAAGAGAGATGACCGAATGTGTGCGGTTCCCAAAAATGGTGATTCTGGTCCCTGACAGCCTTTGGCAGACAGCAGCCTTCTTAAAAGGCCAGTGACAGGGCCCAAGCGAGCTCGGGGCTGAGCACAGGCTGCGATTCCCAGCACCACACGATTCCCCTGAGAGCTACTGGCAGCGATCCCCAAGCACTGAGCCCGGTGTGGCCCCCCCCCCCCAAAGCAGACAAAAAGACAAGTTAGAACTTTCCTGGTGTCCTCATCAGCCCCAGGCAAGAAATGGAAGGAGGGACTGGAGCAATAGCACAGCAGGTAGGGCGTTTGCCTTGCACGCGGCTGACCCAGGTTCGATTCCCAGCATCCCGTGTGGTCCCCTAAGCACTGCCAGGAGTAATTCCTGAGTGCAGAGCCAGGAGTAACCCCTGTGCGTCGCTGGGTGTGACCCAAAAAGCAGAAAAAAAAAGGAAACAGAAGGAATTGTGGGGAGAGCTCTTCCTGTCCTGACAAGGGAAATTAGAAGCAGGCCAGAGTCCCTGAGGCAGACGCGAACGGGGGCCCTGTGCAAGTGCCAGGCCTGTCCTCTATGGCTGGGCTTGAGGAGACCTCAGGGAACCCAGCAGGGGGTTTTGGGCACCAGGTGGCGGGCAGAGATGTGCTGAAGCTCAAGATAGGGCGGCAGAGCAGAGGGGGCCAGGAGGGTATCTCGGGGCTGCAGTGCATGCCTTGCGTACAGGAGGCCCGAAGTCCAATTCCTGGCACCTCATGCCCCCTGACTCCTCACCACCCCCTCCACCACTAGCATCGCTGGGCCCAAGCATTCAGCCACCCATTCTGGCTAGCTTAGTCACGCATCACCAGGAGTGACCCCTAAACCCCGAGCTTTGCTTGGGAGGCCCCATCACTACCACCACCAAAGGCAAAGTGGAGCCTTTAGTCTGGGTAAAACTACAACAGGGGGGAAACTTATAGCGCCCCAGAGCCTTGCACACACCCAGGCCAGACCAGAAAGTCACCTTGGGCTGGCTGCTGACAACCAAGAATTCACCATGGGATTCACTCCACTGAATTTGCATACCTCTGCACCAGAAGAAGTTTGGCGGGCTCTGACTGTACACAGCAGACCTGAGTGTCAGCTCTCCCGCCTTTATTGGGGGAGAACGGGGTCACACCCAGTGTTGCCTCCCCCCCCAGCTGGATGCTCACGGTGACTCCCAGTAGTGCCCAGGGGAGTACGTAGTCCCAGGAGGTCAACCCAGGTCTCGCGCTGTGCTCTCGCCTCTGGAGTCATCTCCCTGGCCCCCCTGCCTTTCCCCTGGTGCATTCGAGTGTGCCATGTCTGGAAAGCTCGGACAACCCCAGTTAAAGACTGCTTGTTTCTGTCTTCCAAGCTGCCACCCTGAACCCCCCCCCCCCCCATAAACACCTCTTCTTTGTTCCAGAACAACCAGGTTTCATTCCTTGTTCAGCACAAGTCCCACCACAGAATACAGGAAACCTAAACCCACATTCACGGATAAGAGGGCGGAAGTGAAGGCCGGCCTCACCTGCAGAGCCCGCGTGGTCATGCGGTTGCCAGCGAGTGTGCTGTGGCACTGCCACCCTTGGTGGGGGTGGGGGCAGGGATGGCACGGCTTAGTGCTGAAAACAGACACTAGTTTTGCTTTTATGCCTTTTATTGTAGAAGCAGAAATCCTTGTGCATTTCTTTTGTTGGGGGAGAAAGACTGAAAACAGATACTAATGTGAGTCCTTTGTAAAGGTAAAGCAGCTTAAGACAAATTTTCCAGAAGCAGAGGACACCTGAGCCCAGAGCATGTGGCACAGTGCTGGCCCCCAGCAGGCACCCAGTCTGTCGTGAAAGGTTGGCTCAGTGTCCTTGGTCTATTTGGGGGTCACCCAGGCAGAGCTCGGGGAGCCCAGGGGCCGTGCCCACCACACCCAGACCAGTTCTGCTTACCTGCAGGTTTAGTGCCTACGCCCAGGGATGCTGAGTGGTGGGGGGAGCAGAGTGAGGAGGGGGCACCCCTGACCCCTACCGGTGCTCGTGGGGTTGGGTGGGGATGTGGTACTGTGACAGAACTCTGGGACTAGCACATGGAGGGTTTCTGAGCGCTCTTCCCGGCACTTTTGTTTTTCTTTTTGGGTCACACCCGGTGATGCACAGGTTACTCCTGGCTCTGCGCTCAGGAATTACCCCCGACTGTGCTCGGGGGACCATATGGGATGCTAGGAATCGAACCCGGGTCAGCCGTGTGCAAGGCAAACACCCTACTACCCTTTGTGCTATTGCTCCGGTTCCTCTCCCTGGCACTCTTGACAGTGACACTTTGGATCCGGAGAGCCCCGCGGCCAGTGGAGTGGGGGATAGTGCGGAGTTCACCACAGCAAAGGCTCAGCTTCACAGGCTGATCCACAGCTTCAGCGGCTGATCCACAAGAGTCCAGGAACCACTGACTAGAACAGAGGGATTTTATTTATCGGCCATGGAACAACTTAGGTGGAGAAGGGCATCCCCCAGCACCAGCTAGAGACAAGTGTCAAAGAAGGCAGTGAGGGTAGGGTTTATGCCAGCAGAGACGGGCGTGTGTGTGTGTGTGTGTGTGTGTGTGTGTGTGTGTGTGTGTGTGTGAGATGTTACAGCACATACATATTCTAGTAGGTTTTTCAGGCAACTCATGCATATTCACGAGGGACAACACCAAGCACGTGCAACTGAGGAACATAAACACGTCGCATATACAGAGAATGGCAGAAAGCATCGTCGTGGGGGATGAGTATTTTGGTTTGGTTGTGAAGTCCTGGGAGGCTAGAGGTCAGGGAGGCCAGTTCTGTTTGGTGAGGGGCCTGGGGGCCTTATCAGTGCAAGAGTGTCCTTATTTCTGCTTTGGCCCAGTCAAGCCAATAGAATGCAGCCGGGCAGCTTCTCCCAGGGAGGGGTGGTCACACCCTCCCAACTACAAGCCTCAGGCCAGTCCAGAGCTTTCCCAAAGCCCAGGAACTCCTAAATTTAGGGGGAGGAAAGAAAAGGGGTAAAGTTGCAAAAATATTTTGACAAAAAGCACAGAACATATTACAGAGGTCTGGAGCAAGAGAATATAGGAGGAGTGAAGTTAGAATGTCAGGAATGATTATTGTAGGACTTTGGGTCAAATGGTACAGTGGGTAGGGAGTTTACCTTGTAGTCGTCTGACCCAGGTTCCATCCCCAGCATTCCATACGGGCTCCTGAGCACTGCCAGGCATACTTCCTGAGTGCAGAGCCAGGAGTAACCCCTAAGCATCGCCAGGCGTGGCCCAAGAACCAAAAATAAAAGAAAGTGCTTTATAGTCTGGAACCAAATAGGCATCTGTGTTTAAGATTATATATGGGGCAAGGGGGAGGGTGATTAATTTAAACAGCACAGAGTGGTTCCAACTAGTCTACAGTGGATTAGAAGTTGTTTTGCCCAGCACCCCAGATGGTCCCCTGAGCCCCTCCAGGAATTAATCCTGAACACAGAGTCAGGAGTAAGCCCTGAGCAGTGGTTACCGAATCATCAGGGCTGCACCCCAGTGGGGGGTCAAGGCTGTTCCCAGCTATCCATTTAGGGATCACTGTTGGCAGTGCTTGGTGGCCACACATTGCTGAGGATTGAACCCAGGCTTCCTGCAGAGCGTGTGCAGGTGTGAGAAGTTTTCTCTGACCCTGCTCTGTAAGTTTTTTATTTTAACTTTTGTTTGTTTGGGTGGTAGTCAGGCTTACTAGTGGTAGTCAGGCTTACTCCTGGCTCTATGCTCAGGGATCACTTCTGGCGGGTTTGGGGAATAATCTAGGGTTCTGGGGGTCCAACCCAGGTCAAGAGTGCAAGGCAAGAACCTTGCCCTGT